GGGGAAATATAATTTTTCTAAAGTCAAATGAGTCAAACTATTTGATTTGTCTAAAAATGTTGAGACAGCCTTTTGATCTATCAAGATATCATACATGATATGATATTGTATGGTTAATTCTTTTAAATTCCTTTGAGATTTTAATAAGGTGAGAGCCGAATTTGTCATGTTTTTATAAATTGTGAAACAAATCCTTTCAATGGAAATCGTGATTTGAGAGAGTTTTAAAAATAAATCTTCCATTATAGGAGTATCAGAATTATATTGAAATTCTTTAAGATTTGAGAAACAATTTTTAGTAGTTTTAGGAATTTGATGAATAATGTCTAAGATGATATCAGAAGTGGTACCAGTAGTTTTAATGATAGTAGTATGACTTATTTTTAAAGTATCTATAAAAGAGGAATTATGTAATAAATGTGTTGTCAGGATCGAAAGTAATAATTTAATTTGCGTGGAAGTATAAGAAATTTTACCATAATTCGGGTGTGCAAACCAATCTTTTACTGCTAAATCTATACAAAGCATGTCTATTACACGAAGGAATGATGGATAATCAAATGTTAAATTTGCTACTTCTGGGATTTTGATCTCATGCGTGATTAAAGTGTTTTTCGATTCTTGTGATAACGTCGATATAAATGTGTTTATAAGTGAAAACATCCTCCTTGATCCATATCTACTATCAAATTTCGTTAACGAAAATGGGTTGCTCCATAATATCGGTATCGCCGTTTGACACCAACATCTATTAACTAATATGCAAGGAAATAATAAGACTGGATCATCTTCTAGATATTTAAATATTGGTATAAGACATTCTGGAATTAACGTTGATGCCATAATAAAAAAATAATAATAATTGGGGGGAAAAAAAAAGATTTCGGTCAAACAAATAAAAAAAAAGATTTTCACAATGGCACGTAAAATGAATTACTGTCGTACAAAAGTCACTTAATTTAATCATGCAACATTCGGATCCAATAAGCGGACGGACCCAATGAGCGCAATAAGTTTCCTTATTTCGAAATTATTTCGTTGATCTTTATTTTTTTTTTTTTTTTTTCCTCACGACGGAGTCGGACCGCCTATGTGGGCAAAAAAAAAATATTTGGATTTCAATTATTTGTCACGAGCAAAGTAGTGAATGAATACAACGAAGTTGTTCGTGCATGTATGAATCAAAACGGGAACAATTGCGATAAAAAAAAAAAAAAAAACATTTTTTGGATGAAATGATTTTTTATTGGCCTCTTTTTTTAACAATTTATTTTTTTTGATGGAATCGTTCAAGTTAAATTTATTTTCCT